TTTTTTTTTTTTTGAAATAATCTGAACCCCATCTTGCCATCTCTAGCTGCATGGTGCTGCTTGCATTGTAGGTGCAACCATGAAGGCCCGGTTGGGGAGTGGCTGGTATGAAGGCTGGCTAGTGGTGTTAGTTTTCTTTTGCTTTTTTGTTTTCTTGGTTGTTTCTTAACAATGAAGACCAATTAATATTTGAAGACGAAGAAGAAAATTCTTCCCTCGAAAATCTCTCATACCATGTGATAGAATGTAGAATAATGTGATGTGTTTTTATTAAATATTACACCACTATTTATGCATAATCTTATTGAGGAAAAGGAACTCCTAGGGAAATAAGGAGGCTAATTAAATTTAGCTTATTCTAGATAAAAAACTTTCTTTACAAATAGGAAACAACTAATAAAATTAATACAATTGTCTACATTGTTCAAACATAACAAATATTAGGAGAAAAAGAAGAGATATGTAATAACTATTTCTTTTGATTTTTTTTCCAGTTCCAAATCCTAAATAGAGATATTATATTTTTTACGTCAATTTTTAATATTAATCAAGTAGTATGGGAACTTCTATTGTTTTCATAAAAAGTTTTACCAAAAAAATCATATTTTGAAATGACTTTCTAAGTTTAGGGGTTAAATTTGTAATGAAAAAAAATTAAGGACTAAATTGAAACATACTCCATAGTTTGAGGACTAAATTGTTAATTTATCATTTCTTTTACTGAAACATTGTGTGTTGATCTATGCTAAAGAATTAATTATTTCCTTTTCAGGAACTGTATTTATGCCCCCAAAGTGGTCACTAGGTTACCATCAATGTCGTTGGAGTTATGATTCTGATAAGCGAGTTGTTGAGGTTCTTATGTTTGGCTTTTCTAAGTTGGATAATTTGATAATTTTATTTCTATTAAAATATTATAAAATATTTTCTAACATAATAGTATGATTATATTTCTAAATATATAAGCTTAATTAGGAAGAAAATTATTAGGGTAATTTATGTTGTTTACCATATATGAATCGGTCTATATGTATATATATCTTTACTTTTGTTTCAATAAAATATAAGAAAATATTCAGTATTCCTTTCCCTAATTCTTACATGGTATCAGAGATAGAGTTAGTGTTAGGGTTTTAGGAATCAAATTTCATCAGACCAAAAAAAAAAAAGTTAAACAACCCATTCTTGGTGTCGGAGGAAGTTGACCAGCGATCTCCGACCAGTTCAAAGTGCGGCCATCACGGTGGTGTACGTAAGAGAAGCCGAAATAGTGATTTGCATGGTGGAGTAAGGCTGTGTACATTGGGTTTGTCGGAGGAGTGTATTTCTGGGCGGTTTACTTTCTCGTTCGAGGATAGAAGCAATAGAGGGGCTCGGTCGATAGACTCTGTGCACGAAACCAGAAGGTTAAAGAAAGAAAAGGCGCAATGGAGGAGATTGCGCGATAAGAAGCGATTCTCTGCTCTTCGGCCTGATTTCGGCTATTTCGGCGAGCGCCATTCCAGATTAGGGCCGACATTGGAGTTCTGTGGTGATTTTCGGCCGAAAAGAGGCTGTTTGGTAGTTTCAAATGGCGGCACGTGTTACTCTAGCAGTGACGCGTGGTTCTCCAGTGGCAGCACGTGCGGCGATGTAGATATCCAGTGGTTGACAGTGAGGTTCTGGTAGGGTTGTTGATATCCGCACGTGAAGATGTACTCTGTTTTCTCAAATTTTTCTGGTATATTTGTACTGTTTTTGGTGTATCTCTAATAACTGTATTTGGGTATTTTTGGATGATAATTTGTGAGTATTATCGAGTTAAGAATAAGTAAAAACAAGTTTTCAGTCAGTGAGATAGTTCCGACCATGTCAAAAATCACTGAGTATAAATTAAATGACCCAAATTATCGGGAGTGGAGCAAAACTATTAGGATTTATCTATATATTGATAAAGATGATCACTTGACTCAAGACCCTCCCATTGATGAAAATAGACAAATCTGGCTAAGAAATGATGCACAGTTGTTTTTGCCAATAAGAAATTCAATCGACAGTAAAGTAATTGGCTTAATTAATCATTGTGAGTTTGTTAAAGCACTGATGGATTATTTAGAGTTTCTATATTCAGATAAAGGAAATGTGTCCCACATGTATGATGTTTGTAAAACTTTCTATCATACTAATAAGGAGGCTAAATCTCTCACGGTCTACTTTATGGAATTTAAAAAAATATGTGAGGAGTTTTATGTACTTTTTTCGTTCAATGCTCATATCAAGGTACAACAAACACAGAGAGAACAGATGACCATAATGAGTTTCTTGGTTGCTCTTCCATTTGAATTTGAGACTGACAAATCTCAAATCTTATTTGGTTTTGAAATCACATCTCTTCAAGAAGTTTTTAGTAGAGTATTACGCACAGATACTACAACACCTAATCAATATATTAATGTTTTTATTATTAGAGGAGGAAAAAATAATGAGGAGGAAACAGAATAATGGATAGTCGGTATAATGATTCAAATAATATTGTTTATTATTATTGTCATGAGTAAGGACATATGAAGCGGCAATGCAAGAAATTACAGAATCGAAATCAGAGAACACAAATTGCGAATATTGCTACTGTTGCTACTGCTAGCTCCTCTTATGAGAAAACTATTGTGGTTTTAGTCGACGGGTATGCAAAGTTCTCTCAGTTGCAAGAATCTTTGAAAGATCGCACACCGGCCATTATGTCTGTTGAATTAGGTAAAAGATATCTTATGTCCTCATCAAATAAATGGGTGATTAATTCTGGTGCTACAGATCACATGACATGTAATGCCAATATCTTATCTAATTTTTGATCACACGGAGCACCATCTCCTGTAACTATTGCTGATGAGTCAACCTATAGTATTGAGGGTTCTGGGATTATAAAACCAATTCTTGCCATTACCCTGACATCTGTTTTAAGTTTATCCAAACTTATTTTCAATTTGATTTCTGTAATTAGACTTACCAAATATCTTAATTGTTGTATTTCATTCTTTCCTGATCATTGTCTTTTTTCAGAATCTTATGATGAAACAGATTATTGGTAAATGACATGTATTAGAAGATCTCTACATTTTTAATAATTGGGTGCCTCAATCAGATGTCTGCTCTAGTATTGTCTCTCCATTTGAAGCACATTGTCAGTTGGGACATCCATCTCTTACTGTGTTGAAGAAGTTGTGTCATCAGTTTCATGATATATATTAATTAGATTGTGAGTTATGTCAGTTTGCGATTATCGTACCTCGTCAAGTCCAAGAATTAATAAACAAGCTGAATCTGCTTTTGAATTAGTTCACTTTAATATTTGGGGTTCATGTCCTCTTATGTTCTAAAATAAGGTTTAAATATTTTGTTATTTTTATTAATAACTTTTCTTGAATGACTTGTATATATTTTATAAAAAATTGTTTTGAAGTGTTTTCTCATTTTTGTATTTTTCATTCGGAAATCAAAACTCAATTTAATATTTTTGTGCATGTGCTAATAAGTGATAATGATAAAGAATATATATCAGACTCATTTCAGAATTATATGACTCAACGTGGAATTCTTCATCAGTTCTCTTGTGTTGATACACCGTTTTAAAATGGGTTGTTGAAAGAAAGAACAAACATTTACTTGAGACTACTCGAGATCTCTTGTTTCAAACAAAAGTTCCTAAGCAATTCTGGTCTGATGCTGTATCCACTACCTGTTTCCTGATTAATCGTTTATCGTATACAGTACTTAAAGGTGATATTCCTTACAATATTTTTTTCCAAACAAGACGTTGTTTTCGATACAGCCGCAGATATTTGGTAGTACTTGTTATGTTCGAGATATTCGATCAAATATTATTAAGTTGGATCTCAAAGCCTTGAAGTGTTTTTTTAGGATATTCTCGCCTGCAAAAGGGATATCGATATCACTCTTCAGATCTCAATAAATATTTAGTGTCAACAGATGTAGTCTTTTTAGAGAGTATACCGTTTTTCTCCTCACAGTCCAGTTTTACAGATCAGGTGAAGGACGATGAGTAGCTCATTTATAAATTTTAGAATAGTACCTCTATAGAGCAACCAGATAATAGTATTTCTTCTGATGTGTCTTCTGAACAAACTGATGATGGTATACCTCTAACTCAAGAACAAACGCCCATTATTCATGTTTATTGCAGAAGACAACAGACTAATGATACATGTCCTGCACCAACTTTTTTGTCATCTGATCCTTCCACCCATGATCTTGATCTTCCCATTAGTCTTTGTAAATGTACTCGTCAATGCACCATTTCTTATTCTATTTATCTTATTACTAACTTCATTTCATATGATCATTTGTCTCATTCGTCTAGCTCTTTCATTGCTTCTATAGATTTTATTTACATACGTAAGATAGTTAAAGATGCTCTGAATCACCCTGGTTGGCATAATGTCATACTTGAGGAGATAAATGCTCTTGATGATAATCATACCTGTGATTTGGTAAATTTGTCCAAAGGAAAAAAGACTGTGTGGTGCAATAGGAATTGGCAGTCAAAGTAAATGCAAATAGTTTTGTGACGAGACTTAAAGCTCGATTGATAGCAAAAAGTTATGCTCAGACTTATGGGGTGGACTATTCTGATATATTTTCTCCAGTGGCAAAATTTATTTCTGTCCGTTTATTCATATTTATTGCAGCCTTTACAGACTGGTCCTTGCACTAGCTAAATATTAAAAATACATTTCTTTATGGTGACCTCTTAAGAGAAGTGTATATGGAGTAATCACTTGGGTTTGTTGCTCAGAGGGAGTATGAGAAAGTTTGTCATTTGAAGAAATCTTTATATTATCTAAAATAGAGTCCCCGTGCGTGGTTTGACAAGTTTAGTGAGATAGTATGTGAATTCAGATTGAGAAATAGTAAGTGTGATCATTCAGTTTTCTATAGACAATCAACAATTGGTATTACACTTATTGTTTATGTGATGATATTGTGATACAGAAGACGATTATGCAGGAATATCTTCTCTCAAGTCATTCCTGCATACTAAGTTCAATATTAAAAAGTTGGGACAATTAAAGTATTTTCTTGGGAGTTGAAGTAACAAGAAGTAATGAAGAGATTTTGTTATCTCAGAAGAAGTATGCACTTGATCTACTTGCAAAAACAAGAAAGCTGGGAGCTAAGCTATGCAATACACCTATGATATCAAATGTATATCTTACCAAAGTAATAGTGATTCCCTTGATGATCCAGAAAAATACAAGTGATTTGTTGGGAAATTGAATTATCTCGTTGTGACTCTTCCAGATATTGCATATCCTGTAAGTATTGCAAGTTAATTTATGTTTACACCTATAGTTAAACATTGGGAGGTTTTGGAACAGATTATGTGCTACTTAAAAGGTGCTCCGAAACTCGATATAATATTTAGAAATTACGGACATACTCACATTGAATATTTTACAGATGCTAATTGGGCTGGATCGAAGATTGATAAGAAGTCTATTACAGGTTATTGTGCTTTTGTTGGTGGGAATCTCGTATCATGAAAAAGTAAGAACCAAACAGTTGTATCTCGCACAAACGCAGAGTTTGAATATCAAGTTATGGCCCAGTTCACATATGAAGTCTTATGAATACATCATTTTTTAGAAGAAGTTGGTTTGAATCCAACATCTCCTACAAAACTTTGGTACGATAATCAGACCGCTCTTCATATTGCCTCAAATACTGTGTATTATGAGAGAACCAAACATATCGAGATTGATTGTCACTTCATCCGAAAAAAGATTCAGGAAAACTTTATATCTACTGGTTATGTGAAGACAGGAGAATAATTTGGTAATATATTCACATATCCTCTGAATGGAACACAGATTGAGTATCTTTGGAAAAATTTAGGCATAATTAATATCTATGCTTCAGTTTGAGAGAGAGTGTTAAAATATTATAAAATATTTCCTAACATAATAGTATAATTATATTTCCAAATATATAAGCTTAATTAGTAAGAAAATTATTAGGCTAATTTATGTTATTTACCATATATGAATCTGTTTACATGCATATATATCCCTACTTTTGTTTAAATAAAATATAAGAAAATATTCAGTATTCCTTTCCCTAATTCTTACAATTCTAAATCTAGATCTTTTGTTCTACTTTTTTGTTTGGCTTTCCTTTGCTAAAAGAATTTCTTATGTGTTCTGTTTTTTGAGTTGTTTCTTTTTTTGTCGACCCTTGTAACTTCATGGACATCTGATTGTTCATGCCAGATTGCTAGAACATTTCGCGAGAAGAATATACCTTGTGATGTGCTATGGATGGATATCGACTATATGGATGGATTTTGTTGCTTCACTTTTGACAAGGTATGTGTCTGTATTTGATTAATTCATGGATTTTGGATCATGACACTGTTAGCTTCAGGTTTAGCTGTGCTCTCATGATAGAGAATTGCACCTTGTCAGTCATCCAAGTTAGATATCAGACTTTTTGTCCTTTCCATCAGGATATTGCAACACTTTTGCTTTAGCACTCATTTTTTGAAAAATAGGTTCTTGAAACCACTGGATCTCTTGTAGTCAAAGTTCGGTGGACAGTAAAAAGAAATTATTATCATATCTTTCAGGAACGCTTTCCGGATCCAAGTTCTTTGGTGAAGTGTCTACACGATAATGGATTCAAAGCAATCTGGATGCTTGACCCCGGGATCAAACATGAAAGCGGTTATTTTGTCTATGATAGTGGTTCTGAGAATGATGTCTGGATTCAACAATCAAGTGGGAGACCTTTTATTGGTATGCTTTTTTTTTTTGTTGGTGTTCGTTCTTACATCTGTTTGATCTCTTTTTTATGAGGAATTGATTTCTATTGATCCATTTTCTCAGGGGAGGTGTGGCCTGGACCTTGTGTATTCCCTGACTTTACACATTCAAAAGTTCGTTCTTGGTGGGCTGGTTTAGTGAAGGATTTCATTTCTAATGGTGTTGATGGTATATGGAATGATATGAATGAGCCAGCTCTCTTTAAGGTAAAGTTCTAAGCATTTCAGTTCAAGTTTTATTTTCTGTTGGTGACATATGGTTTCACTTTTCGTTTTAGGTTGTAACAAAGACAATGCCTGAAGGCAATATTCACAGAGCTGATGATGAACTTGGCGGTTGTCAAATTCACGCGCACTATCACAATGTATTATTGTTGAACTATACCCCTGTTATTTTTCTTATATATTTTAGTACACTTTGGTAATGATAAGAGGTTGGATAATTTGTATACTTTCATGTGATACTGGCTACTGGTACCTGTCATTCTAGGTTATGAATGTTTGCTCTAGCAACAGTAGAAATTGTGTATATGGTACTACTAGAAGGAACTGAATTTTGTTGATATTGATTATGCATCTTAGGTGTATGGGATGCTGATGGCAAGATCAACATATGAAGGGATGTTACTAGCTGATAGCAACAGGCGTCCTTTTGTTCTGACTAGAGCTGGATTCATTGGTAGCCAAAAATATGCTGCAACATGGACTGGAGATAACCTTTCAAATTGGGAGCACTTGCATATGTCTATTTCGATGGTACTTAACCTGGTAAGTAATTGATGAGATTTCTATTTGTCTTTTTGCAAGTTCTGATATCAAATATGAATTTTATGTCATTAGATTGTAGAAGCCATGTTGTACCACCTGCTCTCTTCTCTCAAGTGAAGAGCATTGGGGCCACATTGTGTATGTGGTATAGCATTTTCAACAACAACAATTCTCAATGAGTTGCTGTGACAATGTCACAACTCTAAAAGTCTCTCATTCTCTGCCTCTCTCTCTCCCCCCTCCACCCTCTCCTCCCTTGTCCAGCTCATCTTTGTCTTTAAACTTTGGGCCAGAATCCTCCCTTCAAGGTTTTTATGACTTTTCTCCACTTAGCATGCCTTGCTTTTCTCGTACGAAAGTGCTAGTGATAGAGGGGAAGTCCTTTGACATTGTTCCCAAAGGAAAAACTGATGACATTGCTCTTCCTGGTGTCAGAATAGGCTGAAGGGCACAGATGCTACCAGGACATTAGCATCTCCAATCTTCAACGCAATTAGGGGACCATATTATTTATTAATCTTGATAGCTAGCCTCTCTTTATGTCTTTCTTTCTTTTTCTTCCTTTCTTTTTCCTTTCTTGTTGGATTTTTGTTTTGTTTTTATTTCTTTTATTGCTTTTGGGAGGATATCTCATTCTCCTTTGTTGTATTTTCTTCTCCTGATCTTAATATATTGTTCTTATTCTAACCAGAAAAAAATTCAAAGAATACATGGTATAAAACTAAAAATCTCTAATCCTACTAAAAAGGTTTTGAGCCTGATGAAAAGTCCTTTCGCTTCTCTTATTCAAGCTGTCCCAGTGGTCACGTAGAGGCTCTCCAAAAAAATGAAAAAAAGGAGTTGCTATTGATCCTTTAAGGCGGATTGAACAGTTGCCACAATGGTGATAAAAAACGACCCTGTAGATGAGGAGAATGAGAAATTTGTCTTTGCCCCTGAAGGAATAAATATCTTTCCAGTATCAAATCTTATCCAACACAGAACCTGCTATGGCTAGATTAAGTCCCATGAAATCAATGGCCAACTCCCTTAACAGCCCAGTCCAAGTGTGTTGCAGCTCAAAGATGTCTGTAAGCTTCAGCTTTCTTGGATAATTTGCATTGGTTAACCAAAGAAACCTCTAGACTAAGAATCATCTCCCAGCCAGCTTCTTCTGCAAAAAGCTCCTCTTGCAAGTGAGCTGTTGTGTTCTAGATAGTTTTGCAAGGGAAGTTAGGTAAGCTCGCATCAACATTACTAAATAGAGATTTGTAGAAACTTTTAATCTCAAAAGATCCTTTAGCATGAAACTTCTGCTGAAGTACATTGTTAATCTCTGGCTATTCTTATTTTTGGAGCTAGAAAGGAAGCTTGATTCTCACAGCAGTAAGCCTATGTTGCTACAGAATGGTAAAAAGAAACAGAAGGACAACGGATCTAAGGAACTTAAGCGCCTACAATCTTCCATAAATTATGAGGTTCGAAGCAAAAAGACTAAGGATTCTGATGTACAAGTTACTCACCCCAAATGATCGACAAAATCATATCCTGGAATACTAGAGGTCTTAATGACCAGATGAAAAGACACACCATTAGGGGCTGTCTCAGCAGATGAAAGTCAAACTATTATCTGTCTTCAAGGGACAAAAATGGAAATAATCACAGAAAAAACAATTGGCAGCATATGGAGAATGGTCGATGTGGACCGGAAATTTCTTCCTGCCAAAGGCGCTGCTGGAGGTATTTTGATTATGTGGAGGAAAGATCGAATTCAATGCCAGAATGTAATATCATGTGATATCTCAATCTCTTGCCTTTTTTCTAACAACAATTGTGGTCCTTAGTATTTTTCTGGTGTGTATTGCTGAGGTAATTCGACTGAACGGTCTTTGCTTGAATAAGAATTATCTCATGTCAGAAATTGTTGGGGAGACAAGGGTATTGTTGGTGGGGACTTCAATATGGTCTTAAGGACCTCTGAAAGGTCAGGCAGTAACAGTTCGTGTAATGACATTGATGAGTTCAGGGCCTTAATTGACAAGCTTGAGCTAAATGACATACCCTTGAAAGGGGGTTGATGGACGTGGAACAACGAAAGGAGCCAGCCCTCCTTTTCTAGAATCAATAAATTCCTTATCTCCTCTGATATGCTCCTGGAACTACCCGGTGTTAATCAAGTGGTCCTAACCAGAGGTACCTCAGATCATTTTCCCATCTCTCTCTCCATGGATGGAATCAAACGGGGCCCAGTTCCTTTTCGTCTGGACAACAAATGGCTGTGTCTCGAAGGTTTTAAAAATCTTGTCTCTGATATTTGGACCAACACCTTCAATGAGGGGACTATAAGCTTCAGAATTGCTTCCAAGCTCAGGATACTTAAGGAGGAAATAAAAAAATGGGTCAAGGATGCTGGCATAAAAGAAGAGTGGTAACCTGTCTGAACTGGACAGGGAAAGAAAATCTCCCTTGAAAGCTGATTTAGCTTACAAATTACACATGAATGCTATTTCCTGGAAACAAAAAGTAAGAGAAAAATGGCTTAAAGATGGGGACAAATACTCCAAATATTTTCATTTATTAGCGAATCACAGAAGAAAAGTGAATTATGTTGAAGAGCTCATCATGGACAACAACAACTTCAAAGGTAATAAGGCTTTGAGAGAAGGGGCCAAAAGATTCTTCCAGAATCTATACAATGAGAAATTCAATCTTCGTCCTAAACTCGACGACCTCGTCTTCAACAGCCTCAATGATACTCAAAAAGTCCAACTGGAATAGGTCTTCATCGAGGAGGAGATTTGGTCTTGTCTAAAAAATTGTGAAGGGGATAAAGCCCCGGGACCGGATGGCTTTAATTTTAGATTTCTCCGAACATTTTGGGAGGTATTTAAAGCGGACATTATTGAATTCTTCAATGATTTTCATTCCCAAGGATTCTTCGTCCGCTCTCTCAACTCTACTTTCCTTGTGTTGATCCCAAAAATGGCTAAACCCAGAAATTATTCGGATTATCGTCCCATAAGCCTTATTGGTTGCATCTACAAGTTGCTTTCGAAGGTTTTGGCTAACAGATTAACCAAGGTAATCAATCATATTATCGGTAACTGCCAACATGCTTTCGTTAATGGGAGACAAATAGCTGATGCCATTCTTATTGCAAATGAGGTTGTGGACGACATCTTTCGTCACAACAAGGAAGGTATTTTGTGTAAATTGGGCATGGAGAAAGCATTTGATCATGTTAATTGACAATTCCTTGACTACATGCTCCACAGAATGGGTTTCGGTAACGGGTGGAAAAAATGGATCAATACCTGTGTCATAACTACCAGAGGATTAAGACAAGGTGATTCTCTCTCCCTTCCTTTTTTTATTATTGTGATGAAGGTGTTGCACAAGCTTTTGGAGAGAGCTAAATCACTTGGGTTAATTAAAGGTCTGCCTGTGGGAAACAATGCAAATACTATTGCGGTTTCCCACTTGTTTTTTGCGGATGACACACTGATTTTTTGTCAACCAAAGGCTCGATATTTCATATTTTTGAAATGCACTCTGTTGTGTTTGCAGGCGGTTTTTGGGCTTAAAATTAATCTGCAAAAATCTGAATTGACCAAGTTGGGGAGCTGCACCATGGGGGACTCTTTCTGTGACATTCTTGACTGTAAAAAATCTCCTCTTCCTATTTTTTACTTGGGTGTTCCACTGGGATCTAAACATAATGATTTCAGATCTTGGGAGCCGGTGATGGATATGCTTAACGGCAGATTATCTACTTGAAAGAAGAAATTTCTGTCAAAAGGTGGTAGATTAACACTCATCAAATGTCCTTTTTGTAATATTCCTATTTATTACTTGTCTGTTCTCAATATTCCTTCCAAAATAGCCAAAAAATTGGAAGCCATCCAAAGCAACTTCCTATGTGGTGATTCTGATAGTAGGAAAAACTATCACCTTGTTAAATGGTCGGATGTCAAGAAACCTTTGAGGATGGGTGGTTTGGGGTTGAGATCCTTAAACAAACTTAATAAGGCTTTGCTTGGTAAATGGATATGGAGATATTGGAACGACAATGACAGCCTTTGGAAGATGGTTATCAATTGCAAGTGGTATAATGAGAATCCCCTTGATCTTTCATACATTAAGAACAGAAATTATGGTTTGAGTATCTAGAGGAATATTTTAAACATGTATGGTGCAGTGTTGAGTTGCTCTAAATGGTCCATTGGTAATGGAACAAAAATTTGCTTTTGGGAAGATACATGGTGTGGTACCGAAAAACTCATGGACAGATTCCCTTTTATCTATGCCATTGCTACGAACAAAGCTGTTACTGTAAGGGAAGCTGCTGGTTTTGATGGCAGCTTTTTATGGAATGTCCCATTCGCAAGGAATCTTAATGATTGGGAGTTTGAACAATACGAATCTATACTTTCTACTTTGGTCAGTAGCAATCTCACTAACAGAGACGACAAATTCTTGTGGAATCTCAAGAAAAATGGTCTCTTCTCTGTTGACTCACTGTTATGTTTTTTAGATGGTCACCATCAGTATAGTCCAAGAACCTTTCCTTCCAAAATCATCTGGAATTCTGGCGCTACCCCAAGGATTTCTTTCATTGCATGGGAGGCAGCAAAGGAGAAGATCCTTACCTTGGACAACTTGATGAAAAGAGGTCACACAATTGCCAACAGATGTTTTCTGTGTAAAAATGCTTTGGAATCTTGCAATCACCTTCTTTTGGGTTGCCTAATTGCACATAAACTCTAGAGTATGATTCTTGAACTGTTGGGAACTTCTTGGATTATGGCTGGCAACGTTTGTGCTGAATTAATGGCCTGGGAGGGTCTTGGCAGCAACAATAAATCCATTAGACTCATTCCTCTCACCATTTTTTGGGTCATTTGGAAGGAAAAAAACAAAAGGGCTTTTGATGGAGTCGAGTCCAATTTCAACAAAATTATGGATAACTGGTTTCAGTACTTTGATTCTAACTTACTTGGACGTAACCTCGATTTTTTTGAGGATCTTGGTGACATTGTAGATATTTTAATTGAGATGTAAATTTTGTACATGGTTGGTGCTCCCTTTGCACCTTACATCAATACAACTTCATACTTTTCTTTCAAAAAAAAAAAAAAATTTGGCTATTCTTTGGGTAGATTTTCATTTGTTGGGGAAAGGGCAATTTAAACATGCCCTTGTTGACTCTAGGTATCTATTGTTGGCTGTATTTTGGGTCCCTATTGCAAACTAATTTGTGTGTTTATCCAATGTTTCGAAATTTTGACTTAATAGCATGGTGGTCAGTATTCATCAAATGGCATGATGTCCAGGTTACTGTATTCAGGAGTTCCATTTGGTTCTGCTAGTAAAACCTGATAATTACTTGATGAATGATAATGTTTTAATATATTGGATATATGAATTTTTATGTTCTCGGTAAGTTTGATATCAGATGGAGGCTTATCAAGACTATCTTGAGTTGGTCTGTTATTTGTTGACTTGCGGCTTCTTTGTGTAATATAAGAAAGAGAAAGATGTTTTTATATTGCCTTAACTAATTTAGTTACTTCATGCTTTTTTGAAATTCTTTAAATATAATGTTGGGAGGATAATTTGTGCAGGGAATTAGTGGTCAGCCGTTTTCTGGACCTGATATTGGTGGATTTGCTGGAAATGCAACGCCAAAACTTTTTGGAAGGTGGATGGGTTTTGCTTCATTGTTCCCTTTTTGTCGTGGGCATTCTGAGACTGACACTATTGACCATGAGCCCTGGTCATTTGGGGAAGAGGTTGGTTCTATTTCTACAATAGTATGATAACACTTGTTTTGGTTAATATATGATGCATATATGGAATTTAATTTTTATTATATATGAAATTCCATTTTAATTGAACTCCTGGAGTTCCATGTTAAAAATTGAGAATGAAAATGCTTTGGAGATGAAAATAATGCATATTAAAAGGTATCGAAGGGTCAAGTGAAAAAATATAGCAAAGCAAAAACAGACCTCCTCAACAGAACAAAAATATATAAATTCCCCTAATCAGAAAATGATACCCTTCAGGCACCACCTCCCCCCTCATTTCCTAAACTTTGCAAAGGAAGGGAAACATATTCCCACTTTTTCATCTATTGTGCAACGACATTAGAACTATAAATGAAAATACTTGATTGGTTTGGTCTATGATGGGTCACTCCTTGTACAGTGAAAAGCTGATGACTTTGTGCATTCACAGGGAGTCAGGAAGGTGGTGAAGGCCCATGAGAAGGGACCTTCTGTTCAGGTTTGTGGAGTATATGGTTAGATAAAAATTGGGGGATACTTGATGACCGTTACTCGTTGTTTCATGAGCTGTGGGAAAGTGTAATGTTTTTGGTCGCTTATAGGCCAAAGCTCAGACATTCTATTCTGATCTAGTGATCTATAAGCTTCATCAAAATTGGGAGGCGATTATTTTGCTGCCATAGTTGGCTTAGGGTCCATGTTTCTACTGTAAAATTTTTTCTTCCTTTAGCTTTTTGAGGAGAATAGTTTCTTTTTCGTATATGTAAATTTTTCTCTTATTTCATAATAATCCTTTGTTATATAAAAAAATGAAGAATATTTTCCAAAACAAAATGTGGTTGATAGGAGTTAGGAAAGAATATACTTATAGTGACTCGGGTTTAGGAGTCTAGACTCCTGGATCTTTCTTTATGTTTTGTTGTCTGTCTTTTTCTTCCTTTAAATGTTTTGAGGAGGATGTTTTAGTGTCCTTAGATCTAAATTTCTTTCTCATTATGATAATACTTTTTTGAAATCTATAAAAAAAAAGAATGTTTCCTATGAGTCTTAGTCAAGAGGGAAATCAAAATATCTACCTTCAAAAAAAGAGGAGGGAAATCAAAATGTCATGCACTCCCACATATCCAAATGTGCTAAGAAGCAATCTTCAGAGATCTATTGAATCCTCTTCAACCATAATGTCCATAACCCAGACATAATAGTTTCTTGCCATATAGGCGCCTCACTCAGACTCCATCTCCCTATAGGTGGGAACTCAGAAAAACTTTATGCAGCTGGTGGAATTACTAACGTCAATCCAAACATATCAAAAAATCTAGTGCACAACTTCCATGTGGTGTCACACTACAAAAAATATGGTTATGTGTCTCAGCATTGTACCTACACATAAGGCACCTATAAAGCCGGTTGAGTGCCACAATCCATGCAAACACCTTTATCTTGGAAGAGAGTTTAACTTTCCAGAACACATTGGCGAAATATGATTCATATTAGTTGGAGTGATGGGTTATGTGTTGGAAAAAGGACTTGCTTATATACAACCTGGATGATTCTTGTTGAAAATTGAGTATAATTGTTATGCTTGAAATATTTACTTCATAACTTAGAAGATATGCTGATTGAACAAATCTCTTTGATTTGGTCTGTCATTTGTTCTGAAAAATCCTCACTTATTAGAAAGATTCTTACTAAATCTCTTTGATTTGATTTGTCATTTATTCTGGAAAATCCTCTCACTAATTAGGAAGATTGTTACCAAATCTCTTTTATTTACTTTGCCATTTATTTTGGAAAATCCTCTTAGAAATTAGGAAGATTTTTGTGTGTGTAAATATAGTAACTTTTGTATTATAAATATGATCCTTGCATCATTATCAAACACAATGAAAATTATAGCATTTTTATTCTTCATGGTTGTTGACATGAATATTTTGTTGTCTAAATAATTATGATATTTTTTTCTAAATTTTCACATGGTATCAGAGTAAAATAAGGGTATTTTAGAATTTAAATTTTTAGGGTTTTTTTCAAAATATAAAATATTCTCAACACCCACCAAATGGAGTTTTAGTTTCATCGTCGGCCTGCCGTCCTTCTTCGGTGAGTGTCTCTGCCATACCCGATCCCCTTGCTCCAGTCGTGCACGGTTGTTCACCTGGCCGCTGCTTCTCCTTCGGCTATCTCTCTGATTCCTGCAGGCCATCTCTTTCTGTTTCGGGCCTGACTCGACCCGCACAGCATCTAGTTCTTCTCTGCCCGACCATGCATTGCGGACTCAGTTCATATCCCTCTGAGTCATGCTTGATCCAACCCGCATAGCCTTAGTTTGCACATCGCAGACTCGGTTGGCGCAGTTTCTCCATTCGCGCATCTCCCCGACCCATCTGCCTTGGTTCGCGCACGACTCTCCACGCAGTTTCTCCATTCGCTCGTGGGTCCTGTTTGCGGCTCCGCCTTTCACGTGGTCGCATGCGGTTGCTGTTCTCTTCCGCCGTGTGACAATATCTGGCCGAGCACCAGCGGGTCTAGTCGTTTTTTGGCGAGAATCTGGTTGCAATTTGGCCTCCTATAGCGCACACCTGCCTCTGTCTCCAGTTCTAGACTTGTCTCCCTTAGATCCAGCTCTGGTTCTCCTATCTCGCCAGACAAACTTCTCCGGTGATCTCCTCCGGTCTTGCAGTGTTTTTTGTCTCCATTGGTGTTGGAGCATTTTTCGGCATCCTTCAGATTTTTTTCTATCTTGTTAAAAGTAACAGCTGGGTATTGTTCTTTCTCTGTCGGTGCGTCAAAAATGGTAAACTCAGGTATTTCTCATCTCTCTACTATTTTTAATTATGATAATTGGATTATAAACTTTGAAGCTAACAGACATATGACAGACTCTTCTAAAAGTTTTCTGACCTATTTTCCATGTACTCAAAGGGAAGTCTGTGTCGCTGATGGATCATACGTTCTTGTATATAGAACAGATTCCATTAATGTACTCCGACCATTCCACTGACTTCAGTTCTTCATGTGTTTAGTTTTTCTTACAGTCTTTCATCCATTAGTGTCCTTACTAGAGATCTTAACTGTAAAATTAAATTTTTTTTTGACTATTGTATCATTTAAGATCTTCAAATAAGAAAGACGATTGGCACGAGTAGACTGCAGGATGATTTATATGTCTTGAATAAAAGTCAAAACATCATTGGGAATTAAGCTGCCTTCGAAGATTCGGATGTCAATAGGAAAATTTTATAGTTGCATCTAAGGTTAGGACATCCTTCTTTCTTTTCTCTAGAACAATTATATTCCACATTATTTAAAAGAATTTTTATGGATTCCTTATTTTGTGATCCATGTGAGCTAACTAAACATAGAAGAAGTTTATATCATGTGAGTAAAAATAGACGTTCTACTCTTATGACCATTTATTCTGATGTTTGGGAATCTATTCACAATAAATCTTTATCTAACTATAGATGGTTTGTTATTTTCATTAATTATTGTATTAGATTAACATGGATTTATTTGGTGAGAGTCAAAAGTGATGTTTCTATACTTTCAGTCATTTCATAAAATGGTATGTATACAGTTTGATGCTCAAATTAAAATTTTAAGAATGGACAATAGTATGAAATATATGGATGGAAGATTCCGTGCCTACTTGGAGTTTAATGGAATAATTCAATAAACAAGTTGTGTTTACACCAGTGAACAAAATAGAGTTGCTGAAAGAAAAAATATACACATATTGGAGATACATTGGTCACTAATGTTCACCATGAATCTACTTAAAAGTTATTGGGGAGATGCAGTTCTCTCAACTATCTATATTATTAATAGAATGCCTTTACAGGTTCTTGATTTTAGAAGTTCTCTGAAAGTTTTGAAATATATAAATTCCTATATTGTTTCCCCCAAAGTGTATGGATGTATTTGTTTTGTCTATACTAAAAATGTGAGTAAACTAGAATCTAAAGCTCTCAAATGTATATTTGTTGGATATTCTCGTACTTAAAAGAGTTACAAGTTTTATCATCTGCCATCTAGTAAATACTTTATGATTATAGATGTCACTTTTAGAGAATTTGAACCATGCTTCAATTCCACCCCCAACGTCTCTTTAGGGGGAGAGTGAAATGGAAGATGTGATATCTAGTTTGGTTACTCTTGACAGTCATATTTAGGAGGAGAATTCCATGTCAGAAAATCCTATTCCAAAAGAAAATGTTGGACGACTGAATAAACCGGACTTGAATAGGTATTCAAGGAGAGATGAGATAGAAAAAATCATTATGTAGTCTATCCCAAATTAAAAATTTTCTTTAATTCCTAAAAATACTGGTGAGTTATCTTTGTCTTGTGAATTATCTGATAAACTCATTGCTCTTAAAAAAAGGAATCAGAACTTGTAATAAACATTCTATATCTAAATATGTCTTCTATGACTCTCTATCTCCTTCCTATAGAAATTTTGTTTTGTCTGTTTCCTCTGTGTTAATTTTTTAGGATTGGATGGTAAAAGATCCCAAATGGAAGGAAGCGATGATTGAATAAATGAAAGCATTAGTAAAAAATGAAACATGAGAGATTGTTTCAACGCCACAAGAAAAAAGGATGGTTGGCTGTAAGTGGGTGTTCACTGTAAAACACAAAGTAGATGGGTCGATTGAAAAATACAAAGTTAGACTGGTGGTTAAAGGGTATACTAAAACCTATGGAGTTGACTATCAAGAAATCTTTGCACCTGTCATAAAAATGAATACAATCAGAATATTATTATCCTCTACTGCTAATCTTGATTGAGATTTACACTAGTTTGATGTAAAAAATGCCTTCCTCCATGGGGACTTAGAGGAAGAGGTATACATAAAGATTTTACCTGAATTCGAAGATAAAAGAACACAAGAGAAGGTCTACAAATTAAAGAAGATATTGTATAGATTAAAACAATCTTCAAGAGCATGGTTTGAAAGGTTCAGAAGAGGTATGATCTCTTTCAGATATCAGTAAAGTAATACTGTTCATACTTTATTCATCAAACATTGTAAGAGTAGAATCACTCTTCTCATTGTTGTAGATGATATTGTAGTGACTTAAGATGATATAAAGGAGGTGACTCGACTAAAGGACTTCTTGCTTAAAAATTTGAAGTTAAGAATCTAAAAAAATTGGTATACTTCTTGCGAATTGAGATTGCCAAATCTAATAAAAGAATCTTCATTTCTTAAATGAAGTATATCCTAAACTGATTAGAAGAGACTGAAATGATGGGTTGGAAGCCAACAAAATCCTCTATTGAAAGTAATCACAAACTACAAGTTAACAATGATGCATCAGTTGACATGGGAAAATATTAGAGATTGGTTGGAAGACTCATTTATCTCTCACATATCATACCATATATCGCTTATGCAGTTAGTCTGGTGAGTCAGTACATACATGATGCTTGCGAGACTCATTTATATGCTGTCTTTCGAATATTACGATAACTAAAATCTACACCTGAAAAAGGTTTACTTTTTTGTAGAAATGACCACCTTAAGATAGAAACATTTATAAATGCCGATTGAGTTGGATCTTCAGATGATACAAGGTTAACTACTGGTTACTACATATTCGTTGGTGGCAACTTGGTTACATGGAAAAGAAAGAAACAGAATGTAGTTGCTCGTTTTAATGTTGAAGCAGAATATAGAGTGATAGCTCAAGGGGTATGTGAATTATTATGGTTGCAGAAACTAATAGATGAATTAAAACTGTTTAAAAAAGGGAGGTTATCATTGTTTTGTGACAATAAAACAATCATTAGTATTTCTCAAAATCCAGTTCAACATGAACGGACGAAACATATTGAGATTGACCGTCATTTCATAAAAGTTAAAGTAGTTGATGACTTTTTATGCTTATATTATGTATATTCTAGCAATCAGGTGACATATATCTTCACAAAAGGACTTTCTAACAAAACTTTTTAGAACTTGATATGTAAGTTGGGCATGTATGATATATTCACACCAACTTGAGAGGGAGTGTTGACATGAATATTTTGTTGCCTAAATAATTGTGATATTTTATCATATATAGCTTTCATTTTTAATTTTTTGTAATTATTTAAAATCCCAATTATAAGGAAAATTTCTTTATTTGTACTTATGAATTCTTGTATATATATGAGTTATTTGTAACATAAAAAATATAGTTGAAATAAAATAAATATTTTTTTCTAAATTTCTACAATGATATTGGAGCGATTGTGAGAAACCAAAAACTTTCTCCTCCTTATTTAATAGCCTCAATCATCTCTACTATTTTGTTTCAATCTATTACTAATTCTACTGGAGGATTTGAGTCCAATGCCTTAATCACTATTGGACACAAATTGAATGGTCATAACTATTTTCAATAGTCGCATTCAGTTATGATATTAATTTGTAATCGAGGAAAAGATGGCTATATCATAGTAGCAGTCAGTAAATCTGTTGATTCACTTTATAAGACGTGAAAAACTGAAAATAATTTAGTTTTGTCATGACTGATAAATTCCATAAAGAATAATGTTAGAAAAAATTTTACTCTATGAAATAGCACAAGAATTATGGGATACTGCGAATGAGACCTACTCAGATAAGGAAAATACAACATAAGCGTTTGAGATTGAAGGTATCCCCCATGACCTTCATCAAGAGGACCTCTCGATCATTACATATTTCAGCCGTTTGTGTAAGTATTGACAACAACTAAATGTGTATGAAACTACTCAATGAGATTGCCCAATGCCACAACGAAATATAAGAAGATCGTTGAGAAGAAACAAATTTACGAACTTCTCTTAGGATTCAACAAAAACCTTGATGATGCTCGTGGTTGAAACCTAGCAACCAAACAATTACCTAACCTGCAAGAGATAGCAGCTGAAATCAGATGAGAATTGCCGAACCTCATGAGTAATTTTCCTGTCAAAGGAAGACAATATTTCTCTACACTCAAGAATAAAGATAGTAAAATAATATTATGGCTCTATTGTGTAGGTCATCTAAATATTTTGTATATCAAGAAACTCTTTTTTTTATTGTTTAATCATAACTCTATTAAATTTCAGTGTGAATCTTGTCAGATATCTAAACATGTTCAAAATATCTATCCTATCTAACAATACAAAAAAAAAACAGATCCCTTTTTAGGGATTCACAATGATATTTGGAGGCCATACAGAGTCAAGATTTTAACTAGAACAAGATGGTTTGTAACGTTTATAGATGATCACCCATGCCTCACTTGGTTATTTCTCATGAAGGAAAAATGGAGGTATCTAAATTGTTCAAGTCTTTCAATAAAATGATGCAAACTCAATTCAACATAAATATCCAAATTCTCCACACAGATAATGCCAAAGATTATTTCAATTCTATCATTAGGGAATATTTGATCGAAGAGGGAATTATCCATAGAAATTTATGCATCGACATCCTTCAACCAAATGAGATACCTGAAAGAAAGTGAGAATTTATTAGAAATTGCGTGAGCTATCATCAAGGAGAGAATAGAATGGGGTACAATTAACATCTTCTACATTCCTAATAATAAGAAAAAGTAGATATCCTGACTAAGAGGCTACTAAAGGCAAATTTTGAAGATATGAGGTCCAAGGTACTTGATATAGCCTAGCTTGAGGAGTGTTGAAAATTGAATAATTATAATCACTATATTAGAAATATTTATCTCCTGATTTAGAAGAAATGGCTCTATGGTTGACCAAATCTCCTTTGATTTGGTCTGCCATTTATTCTAAAAAATCCTCTCACTAATTAAGAAGGTTCTTAACAAATCGTTTTGTTTGGATGTGCTGTTTATTCTGAAAAATCCTCTCACTAGAAGATTTTTTGTGTGCATAAATGTGGTAACATTTATATTATAAATACAATTCTTGTATCATTATCAAAGGCAATGAGAAATAGAGAATTTTCATTCTTCAGTTCCAATATCCAAATTCTGCTGTCAGGATTTGGAATGTACTGAGAAAATAGGGGTCTCCCTAATTGGTAGGCCTCTAGAACAATAAAAGCCTCAGGCAACAGTATCATTCATTGGGATGAAAAAAAGCTGCAGGGTTCATGATATCTGGTATAGTTTATACTAGTGAAGAAATTAGTTAGTTAAAGGATTAGTGCTAGTCCAATTATCCTCCCAAAAGAGAATTTTGGAACCATTGCCAACTTTCAAACCGAATAAGGGGTAAGAAAAGTGGATGAGTTTGGGTAATAGATTTCCATGAACTCTTATAAGAGGTAGAACACCTTGTTAACACATTGTATCCACTGCAACATTGATTGTGGATATTCTTGATCACCCTGTGCCATAGATACTAGGTTCTGTAGAAATGCTATAGCCAAACCAATAATGACAAATTTTTTGAGACAAAGTTTAATGCCTAAGCCTGATTATGTGTTGGTTTGACAACAAACCTCCTAACTAACTAAATGATCCTAAAACCCTCCTTTGGACCTGCCTATAGGAATCTTCTAACACAGTTGCCTATTCCCTCAGCCACCTCCACAAGAATCCAAAACAAGGGAAGAGAGACGAGTGGAATACTTGACAAACATGCTTGGAATGAGAGTTCGTGCTATTATTTATTGAGCTTTTCATTGCCCCTCTCATCGAACTGAATGTGATCTAATCAAATATGTGGACTCTCTGGTATCTAGTCTTGCGGCTGATTTTGCAGCTCTTCTTTTTTCCACTCAGAAGCCGACTTACCCGTCAAGGCTAAAAGGGAATGATTTATTGACTAGTTTCCATGGAAACGTTTGGATCCTTCTATAGACTTCTCCTTTCGCTTGAGAATTGCCACTGAAATAGAAAATCAAAACGTGGAGGTTGGCAAGTTTTAAGTCATAGAGGAAATATGGGATGCCCTTGCTGAGTTAAGACACCTGCTCTTCCTATTTCATCTTTTTTTGAGATAACCTCTTCCTATTCCATATGCATCACAAGCAACCTCAAAAGACTTGAATCGAATTAGGATGCCTCACCTGACCACCCAGAGAAAATAAATATCCTTTCCAATGCACCAATAGTTTGCTGGCCTTCCTAACCTCACGTCTCCCAAAAAGATTGCCATCATGGGTTATGATTCATTACCAACCTCTTGATTCTTGAGCTGGAATTTTAAAATTGTAGTTAAGGTTTCCTAGTTTTAAAAAGCTGGGTATCATGAAAATTGGACTCTTAAAGAGGGTCCACGAAACTACTATATAAAATGAGTATATGGATGGAGAAAAAGAAAGGAATGTTGATTTTCTGTTAGTTTCAGTCTAAATGGTATATTGCTCTTTCAAGTAATTGTTCACTTGTAATTTTGCTGCCATTTCAAATCTATGACAAACTTCAGTTTGATTAAATAGTGTGAAGAAGTTTGCCGTCTGGCATTGAGGAGGCGATACAGACTTATTCCGTACATATATACACTCTTTTATATGGCTCATACACTGGGTACCCCGGTGACAAGTCCTACATTTTTTGCAGGCAAGTCCTTGTCCTATTTCTTTTGATGAGCTTGTTGAATTATATTGGTTTATGGGGCATTCAAACTATTCATAACTTGGTTTTGCAGACACAAAAGATCCCAGCTTAAGGACGATTGAGAATTCCTTCCTTTTGGGGTCAATTCTTGTCTGTGCCAGGTGTCCTTATCTTCAAACAAACACAGTAGATGTTAGCTGAATTTCTTTTGGTTTTTGCTTGAATCCCTTTATCTCTTCTTTTTCCCCTTTTTGCGGATTGAATCCTTCCTAATTAAGTGATTTTGGACTCTAAGAAACATTTTGGCCTCTAAGCCTCAAACAGTATCTTACAATCTGGTGCTAAGGCTGATTTTTAGGAAAAATAAAATAAAAGGCTGATTTTTAGGGGAGCCTGGTTTTTAAAGTTTCTTTTAATGGGAAAAAGAAACAGAAAAATTGGCTTGAAAGCATAAAATTTCATTGTTTTGAATGGCATATTCTTCATAAATTTCTGTGAGGGACTTTATGTATCAGATTCTATTTACGAACAGGTAGAGTTAGACATGTTTCCTACATTTTTTTTGGCTTTTCTTTTAACATTCTTAATTGGATGAAGTTTCCTTGCCTTTCTTTCAGGCAATCAGATTTGCAAATTGGATTTTCCTCTTTGGTTTTTCTGTGAAATATTTTATTTCTTCCATAGAAAATTATATTGCTTGTAATGAAAGAAAAACAGGAGCTTGTATGACTTTGGAATATGTTGAATTAGGAATAGAAATTCATATCTCAAACTGAAGTCACAAGTTTATTCTCCTTTTGATTTTCAATATTGATACTAAAAGAAAATAGAGAATAAAGTTGGATCACTTCTTATTAACACAAGTCTTTGTGAATAATTATCTACTTAATTCAGTTACTGCACATGGTATTGATAGGACATGGTTTGTTTTGTCAATTATATTCTAACAAAGCGCTTTTACAACTTTGAGATATGTCGGATTTTCTCATGTTTTCTGACAGTTGCCATTTTGGCAAAATGCTGGTAAGTTGAAGAGGTTTACTTTCAACAAGTGCAGTTCACTGACATCAACTTTTTTTCTCTGTTCCTGACCTTTCCCTTTTCAGCACTGCACGTGAACTTGGGTCAGATAAATTGGAGCACTTGCTGCCAAAAGGAATTTGGTTGAGTTTTGATTTTGATTATTCCCATCCAGTATGTATTGCTGCATAGCTTCTCCCTTTTAAAACATGGCTAAGTTCAATTCTTATGTATTGTTTTCTTAATCTTTCCATTTGAACTTTTGTTATATGTTCTAGGTTAATTTCCTAAGTTCTCTGTAATAATCCCAGGATTTACCAGCCTTGTATTTGCAAGGTGGATCTATTATACCTGTGGGTCCTCCATACCAGCATCTCAGTGAATCCACTCTGTCAGATGATTTGACACTCCTTGTGGCTTTGGATGAAAATGGTAATTTTGATACATCCAAAGTTCTACTTTTTTCAAATCAATAAATTAACTCTATTTTTATCTTTAAGGAGTAAGAAAATAAAGCCACTTCTTACCCTGTTGAGCCTATTATAATCTTTCTAGCCATTCTAACAGCCAGATTACAGGGCATGGGCTCAAGAATCATCGGGTACATGCCCTTTTAAATCTCTTATTGACCACATTATTGAACATTTGGTTGTTACCATAGCCGATTTAATGAGGGATTCTTGCAAGTTAAACGTTTGAAGATGTTCGCATGGACTGCAATTCTGAATCGGTTAAATATCAATAAGCTGTTGCAAGTTTGTAAGGCTAATCCAACTTTGTCTCTAGATGTATGTGTGATGTGACATAGAAAAGGAGAAACTCACAACCATCTGTTATCTCAATGTGAGATAACATGGAAGCTATTGACAAGGTTATTTGACACATTAACCTACCTTGAGTAAAACATACTTCCTTAGAATGCTTTATAAATTCCAAACTTGAAGACATAGAGATACGGAAGAAAGACCCATATGGTAAGTAGTGCTTAGCAGGTCTATGGACAACTTAATTGTTATGAAACCATCAAATATTTTAAAACGGATCCTTTTTAGATGATATAAAATTGGAGATGATGACTTTTTGGTTTCCTCATGGGCCAAGGCACATAGAGAACTTTTTAACATCTCTCTTATTGTGCTCCACATGAATTAGGAAGTAAACCATGTTTTTGCTTGTGCTTCCATTTTTGTCCTCCACGAATTTATTTATGTTATTTTGTTTTCACTAGCATCTTTTTCAATAGGGTATCTTAATTGTTGTATTTGTAATTTCTCATTCTTATTCTTAATAACATACTTTTCTATAAAAAAATGAAACTAAACTTCCATTTTGAAAACATTTACGTTTTGTTTGAAGCCTTTGGTTTTAACTATATTATATTCCATTTCAATTCATAGGTATTAAGTATTTGGTATGTTGAATTTAGTTATAAATTACATATTTGACGTATCATTGAATTACTTTTATTTTGTTTTTGATAGTGTTACTAGATTACAACATACTTTCCTTGTATGATACCGTAATTATACCTAGTTATCTTAGATAGTGTTACGAGATTAAGCTAGTTATCTTGGGTAAATCTATCTATATGTGTATGTATATCTCTAACCTATTGGAATGAAATCATCATAAAATATTCACATACTTTTCTATTCAACTACATGGTATCAGAGCCAGACTAGATAAGATCAGAGAGGCATTGAGTAAGCCGTCCCCGACATGGCGGTGATTGACAGAACCGACCTCAGATTAGTGAAGCATCAGCGTATCCGACAAGAAGACAAAGCGGCAGCATCGGGTTTCTTTCCAAACAATGCTACCTTCTGACTCTTCTGCATGCAGGCCTTCGACCTAGTCTGTGCCCGATCCGATCTGTGTGTGGTCGGCGCGGTGGTGAAGCGGAAGAAGATGGATTGGTGCGAAACAGAATCATGAGGCAATGTTTCCGTGCGCATGAAGAAAGAAGCTAAAGAGGTGCTATTCAACTCGGATCCGTACGCGATGAGCTAGAGCAGTACATATTTGGGTGTCTAGCGGCAATGGCTTGAAGAAGACTAGATCTGCGACTGAAACTAGAAGGCGGGAGAGGAAGAAGCTTAGGGGGCGGCCAGATTGCGTAAAAGCCAGATCCCAAAAGTTTTCGGTGCGATTTCACGAGATCCATTTTGGATCTGGCTACATCGTGGTTATGTGATGATCCCAATTAAAGTACAACGGTGTATGGTGAATTTAGCAGTAGCGCATAGGGTTATAGTGGCGGTGCATGGGTCTTTGTGGGGTACTTTCCCACACAAAGGGATGAAGTATTATCATCCTTGCACCCAAAAATTTTAGGTATCTACTGATGTCATCTTTCTTGAGATTGAGTTCTACTTTAATCAACCTTATCATAAGGGGGGATACTATGTTGGAACATAAGAATGACTTATTCTTTTTTGATATCCCCCTTGTGCTTAAACACTATACCTCTTAAATATCTAAACACTAGAGTCTAAGTTCACCAAGTCAACTTGAACCCATAACCCTATAGGACCCACAAGTTTCTTAAGTGTACTACAGAAGAAAAAACTTGGATCCTATCCAAAACAAATTCAAGCATTTGAGTCGAATACTGGAAATGAGGTAGGCTTCGAGAACCCTTTACCTTCTGATATAAATATAACTATTGCACTTAGCAAGGGATGAGAGAAAGCACTAAGCATCCACTCTACCTGATCTTAAACTTTGTATCATTTGAAAGATGCTCTCCATCTCACCAGAATTTCCTTTTGGGACTAAATGCAATTTCTATTCTTATATACTCTTTGAGGCTTTATCTTCTACGAAATGGAAAAATTCTATGAATATTGAAATGCAAGCACTGAAAAAGAACCGAACGTGTGAAGTGGTGGATTCGCCTAATGGTAATATACCAATAGGGTGTAAGTGAGTGTTTACTATAAAGTACACCTTTAATGGAACAATAGAGATACAAAGTAGGACTGGTGGCTATAGAATAATACTCAGAGTTGTGGGATAGATTATAAGAGACATTCACACTTATTGCAAAAGTGATTATAGTACGTATCCTATTATGGTTACAAACTTGAATTAATAATCAAAACAGTTTGATATGAAGAATACTTTTCTATATGGGGATCTAGAAGAGGAAATCTATATAAAAATTCTCATCGGGTTTACCAGAGAGAAGGGAGAAAATAAAATGTGTAGATAATAAAAAATACACTTTATGAGCTCAAGCAATCCCTGAGAGCATGATTTGGGAGCTCTGTAAGAGTAATGCTAGCGATGGAGCCAATTAGAGTTAGGAAGATCAAACCCTGTTTATCAAGCATTCAGAGTCAGTGAGGTACATCTCTCTTGGTATATATTGATGATATAATTATGATAGGGGACGATGAGGAGGAGAGATTTTTAACTAGAGTATTTTGTTGTTTAATTAGTTGATATATTTTTTTCTTTATAATTCTTCCCGTAATCTTTCCCATAATGATGTAATTAATTAGAATCAATTAAAATTCCTACTATAATGTTAATTTCCTTATTTGTAAATAGAAATTTTATATATACCCTAATTATAACAATATAAGTGGTATCAGAAAAAAAGTGAATATTTTTTTTTCAAAAATTTTCATGGTATCAGAGGTAAAATAAGACTGTTTTACGATTTTAATCTCAGGATTTTTTTTTTCCTAAACTCAAAAATAGTACAATAGGTTGAGTTGGTACCCACCTATCAAGATCTGCTCTCACCACTACCCTAGACGGTGTTGTAGCCTCATCGTCGGCTTGCCCCCGAATCCGATAGATAATTTGAAATTAAAGAGATTAAAATACTCCATTGATATGTGATATTCATCTCACAGCAGTAATATATTCATTGGTATTTTGAAGGAAATAAGGAAAACTGATATACAAACATGCTTGCATAGTATCAGAGGCAAAATAAGGCTGTTTTACGATTTTAATCTCAGTGTGTTTTTTTTTTCAAATTCTAAAATAATATAATAAGTTGAGTTGGTACCCACCTATCAAGATTTGCTCACACCACTACCCCAGACAGAGTTGTAGCCTCACCGCCAGCCTTTCCCCGAATCAGGTAGATAATTTGAAATTAAAGAGATTAAAATACTCCCTTGATATGTGATATTCATCTCACAGCAGAACTATATTCATTGATATTTTGAAGGAAATAAGGAAAGCTGACATACAAACATGCTTGCATGGTATCAGAGGCAAAATAAGGCTGTTTTACGATTTTAATCTCAATGTGTTTTTTTTTCAAATTCTAAAATAATACAATAAGTTGAGTTGGTATCTACCTATCAAGATCTGCTCACACCACTACCCCAGACGGAGTTGTAGCCTTACCGTTGGCTTGCTCCCAAATCCGGTAGATAATTTGAATTAAAGAATTAAAGAGATTAAAATACTCTCTTGATATGTGATATTCATCTCACAACATAACTATATTCATTGGTATTTTGAAGGAAATAAGGAAAGCTGACATACAAACATGCTTGCATGTATTAGAGGTAAAATAAAGCTGTTTTATGATTTTAATCTCAGGGTTTTTTTTTTCAAACTCTAAAATAATACAATAAGTTGAGTTGGTATCCACCAATCAAGATCTGCTCTCACCACTACTCCAGACAGAGTTGTAACCTCACCGCCGGCTTGCCCCCGAATCCGGTAGATAATTTGAAATTAAAGAATTAAAGAGATTAAAATATTCTCTTTGTAACGGCTCCGGAAATTCAAAAAGGAAATACATATAATAATCTGAGTGCGGAAGCGAAATAAAAGATTAAGGTTAACATTCTTTACACAATAATTTAAAAGTACTGAATAATATCACGGAATAAGTTTTTTAAAAGAAATACGAGAAAGTGAGAAAAATTAAGAAAACTATAAAACATCTAGTATCTACTCGTCGTTTTCTTGTGGATCGGACTCGAGAACCAGATCCTCCTGATCTGAAATGGTTAAATAAAGAATGAGCTACACTACCCTAATAAGGATATCACACTATATCACCGTCACGGAAGTAAAGGTTGGTAGAAAACCGAAAACAACCAATGGAGCACAAATTTTAAACTAATACAATTATTTAAAATAAAATCACTTACCATTTTTCTTACCCTTGGAGAACTTGTGAAAACAACCTATAAATACAATAACATTATACAGATCACAATTTTATGCATAATCAGTAACATAAAACACATCATAAACCCGTTTTCATTAACAATAACTGATTATCACTGTTTTTCGTTTTTATCAGGCTACTAGTATCCATGAGGATGCATATGGGTCCCTGTTACACGTGAACCATTCCCCTTAACAATCCTAATTTCAAGGCCGTCCTCACACCCCATCCGGTATGAGCGCCAAAACAATAAATCTCAATACCCTGTCCGGTATGAGGGTGAAGCGGGCCGTCCTCATACTCCGTCCGGTCCCTGTTACACGTGAACCATTCCCCTTAACAATCCTAATTTCAAGGCTGTCCTCACACCCCATCCGGTATGAGCGTCAAAACAATAAATCTCAATACTCTGTCCGGTATGAGGGTGAAGCGGGCCGTCCTCATACTCCGTCCGGTATGAGCGCCAAATGACCAAGTCTCCATATCTCGTCTGGTATGAGACAACGTTCACGGTAAGGTTTCCTATAAACCCGGTCCGTCCACCATCTCCCAGGATATCTAGTGAGGTTGTCATCTTATCTATTTATCAAATCACCTCCTATTCCTATATGTTCTTAGTCTCTGTTAACAACTCAAACATGAATACATAACAAGTAACGTGCATCCAACAAAGCAAGCATATCTTAGATTCCTAAAATCAAACAGTAGCGAAGTAAGCAGTGATACATGTATTTAAAACCATAAAATAGATAGACCAGATACCATAATACATTTAAACTGTAAAATAAATCAAACAGGAATCGATAGAGAATAATGTCCGGTTCGGGCTCCATTAACAATCCGTAATTAATTATGTATATCTATTTAATTTGTACAAAACACAGTATTATCATTTATTCAAACTTTAATTCCATGATAGGAAATAGAGTGAGGGGTCCTTACTTGATTCGACGCCAAAAACTAGATTGTCGCTACGCCTACGGGCGGTCCCTGGGTTCCCTAAATTTTTACTCGGGAATTGAAACGCGCTTACGGTACTTATACATGTCCCAAATAACTCAAAAATCAGACCCAGGGCCTACTCGGCCAATTTCAGAATTCTGGCACGGTGGCTCCGCCGTGCTCCGGCGACGGCGCTGCCGCCCGCGGCGGCGATCCACCTCGGGTTGGCTATTTTCAGCCGTTTTCGGTCGAATTCAGCCAAACTTGCATCAGTTTCTGTGAAAAAACACACTTAGGGCCCTTGGTGGGCAGGAAAAATGTAGAAAACCAAAACTTACCGGCGGTGGGGCTCTTTGGTGCGGCGGCTCCTCCGGCTCACGTTGCAGTTGGGTGTTTTGCTACTATCAACCTGTAAAGGAGGAAACGGTGATCACAACGGTGGAAAAATCATATCGAACGGGAATCGGGAAGGGCCTTGTTGGAGAAGAAAACCGAGACACCCCGGGGCGACGCCACTGAGCTTCGGCGGCGTTTTCCGGCCAATTGGCCGGTGCTTTCACTCCAATTCGGCCATAGGTGGGTTTAAAATCTAATTTTGAGCAAAAGATAGAATTTTTACCTCGTTTGGCGGCCGAAAATTGCTCTGGTACAACGGTGGGTGGCGGCGGTCGGCTCCTCGACAGCTGGGTTGTCTTCTCTGGTGAGGGGCTCTAGCGGCTAGGGTTACGGTTTGGGTGCGGATGAGATTATTTGTACCTATCCGCTTTTGATCTGAGCCGTCCATCGCTTTTAATCTGGACCGTACAATCGCGATTAAATAGGGAATGAATATGAGCCGTTCATCGTTATTCAATTTGGGCCGTCCATACGCGATTATATCTGAGCCGTCCGTGCGTGATTCAATCTGCGTTGTCCATGCGCGATGCAATCTGAGCTGTCCTTGCTTTTTTTTGATTTGGACCGTCCGTGCGCGCGGGAACGGATCTCAACTATTCGATCGCGCGCATGCGGATCGCTTACGTGGCTCCCTCCCGCGTGGGCTCGCGCGTCAGCGTCTCTGCCACCTGGCGCGTCCTGGTTGGCCGGGGTTGCTGACCGGGCAGCTGACGTGACACAACTTTTTTAAATTGCATTTTGACCCCCGGTTTCTGATTTTTCTTTAAAAAATAGCCATAGAATCCAAATTTTCACCAATTTTTTCCAAAATTGTTTTCAATTAAATCTCTAAATAATTTTTACCCTTTTTGATTATTATTATTATTAGTTTATTTTAATTTAATTTGTTCTATATAAATATAAATAAGTATTAATAAAATTTAATTTAATTTAATTGATTTTAAATTAATAATAAAAATAAAAAGAAATAGTTGGGTGTTACACTCTTGATATGTGATATTCATCTTACAGCAGAATTATATTTATTGGTATTTTGAAGGAAATAAGGAAAGTTGACATACAAACATGCTTGCATAGTATCAGAGGCAAAATAAGGCTGTTTTATGATTTTAATCTCATGGTTTTTTTTATTCAAACTCTAAAATAATACAATAAGTTGAGTTGGTACCCACATATCAAGATCTGCTCTCACCACTACCCCAGACGGAGTTGTAGCCTCACTGCTGGCTTGCCCCCGAATCCGGTAGATAATTTAAAATTAAAGAATTAAAGAGATTAAAATACTCCCTTGATATGTGATATTCATCTCACAGCAGAACTATATTCATTGGTATTTTGAAGGAAATAAAGAAAGCTAACCTAAACATGGTTGCACTCTGGTTGATCCCAATCATAAACTAAGACTAGTAGAAGAAGATATAGAAGTTGATAGGGAGATGTACCAAAGACTGATTGGAAAACTGATGTACTTATCCCACATAAGACCATATATTGTCTATGCAATAAGGTAATAAGCCAATTTATGCAAAAATCCAAGGAAGTTCACTTGTAAGCAGTATACTGAAAGCTATACTACTTGAAAGGGATACCAACGGAAGGTATCATGTATAGAAGAAATAATACTTAACTTCTTGAAATATGCACTTGTATATATTATGCAGGATTTGTAGTGGACAGAAGATCCATCACCGGTTATTGTATATTTCTTGGAGAGAATTTGGTCACATGGAGAAGTAAAAAGTAAAATATGGTAGTATAGTTTAGATAGAGTCAGAATTTCGAACAATGATACAAGGGGTATATGAATTATTATGGCTAAAAGATGAATAAATGAGATGAGTCTATAAAATTTTACTGTGACAATAAATCAACTACTTGAATCGTCATAATTTAGTGTAAAATGACAGGATCAAACATATTGAAGTTGATAGATGTTTCATCAATGAAAAATTGGATAGTGGTTTGATATGTGCACCGTACATGTCCACCTCACAATTCGCCGATATGTAACTAAGGGTTTGAGTAATCTTGGATTTCAGATAATCATTGTCAAATTGAGAATAGACAATACCTATTTACTAGCTTGAGAAGGAGTGTTGAGAAGTCTATGCTATGTGTAATTAGAGTAAATGGTACATTAGTAAAGTGCCCTCATATATAGTTGTTGTATGCTTTTTTTTTTAATTGTTCTAAAAAATGTATATATATGGGGCCCTAGCATTTAATAATAAACATAACATTCATTCTTCCACAATCTCCTCACTTTGAGGTGGTTTAAAGAGTTTGGTTAGGTTGTTAATAACGGTTGAGGAATTCTGGAATGGTTCCCTAATGTAGAGATCTTTATATCCGTTATTTCTATGGAATTTTTGGCTAGGTTATGGGTTTTATGGTTTGAATAAAATGTTAGAATGTTTAAGAGATGCTTCCTGTTGCTGCTTATGCATTGGGATATCGTGGCATTCATTTGTTCTCTTTGGACTAGGACTCACAACTTCTCTTGGGTGCTAATCCACTTTCAAGGGGATTGATTTGCTATCTTGTCTCTGTTATTTTATTGTTTCTTTTTCATTTGCTTTTCTTTGAGAGGGTACCATCTGAATTGTGGTATTTGAGGCAAACAAATGTGAAATTCATCCTTTATTCCTCGGGGATCTTTGGCATGTTTGTGACAGAAGTTTCATTATGGTTGTTAATTGTTTGCAATACTTCACTTGGCAGCTACTGAAACTGATTTTTTTAATTAATTTTGTAGGGAAGGCTAAAGGAGTTCTATTTGAAGATGATGGTGATGGATACGGATTCAAAGAGGGCCAATTTTTATTGACACATTATACAGCTGAACTTGAATCATCTGTCGTGACTGTTAGAGTTTTCAAATCTGAAGGATCATGGAAGAGGCCTAAGCGTCGTCTGAATGTCCAGTTGTTACTTGGTGGAGGTGCAATAGTATGTCTTCTTTTCCTGAGTAATTATCATTAATTTCTTAGCATAGGTTTATGAAAAAGAAAAATGCTGGAGATGCTTTTCAATTAATAAAATTTAGTATTCGTTTTATTTCAATAAAGAAAATTTACTCTTCTTTCTGTTGAGCAGCTTGATAGTTGGGGCATGGATGGAGAGGTTTTGCAGATTATAGTGCCATCTGAACATGAAGTCTCTAAGCTAGTATCAAGGAGCAAAGAGAATCACAAGATTCGTTTAGGTAAAGTCAAAGTTCTCTGATGCTGTTTCGACAAACATTTCTTGATGCTGTTTTGACTGACATTTCTGGATTTTTCTTCTGATTTAGAGAATGCTATTTCCCATGCTATTTCTCTTCTCCTCTCTTTCTCATTACAGTTTTAATTTGAGAGCATCTGGTGCACTATTGGAGTTAATTTTTTGTTTCTTTTTTGTAATAGAAGAAAACATTTTCTTTGAGAATAAAAAGTAGGAATTAATAGAAGAAAACATACTGTTGGAAGTAGAGAAAAGGAAACAAAAGATAGGCTATCTTCCGATAGAAAAGAAGAAAAGAAAAAAATGTGGAACACCATTTGGAAAGAGGATGAGTCAAAACAAAATAGCATCACAATTCCTTTGTGAAATAGATAAAAAGGTTCTCAAAAGAGGCTGTGGGCCTTAGCCCAAAGAGAGGAAAAAATATATCATTGGATTCCTAAGGTCAAAAATCAATTGATACTGTTGCTTAAACATCCTCACATTTCTCTCCAACCAAAGGACCCAAATGCATGAAGAATTAGTTCTTTATAACACCGGATGATCCTTACTCTATCAACAAATGGGGCAAAGAAGGTGATATTAATAGCTATAGATCAGGGGGCTGCACCCACGAATGTGAAGAAAAAATGATCTTGTCCAAGAGCCCAAGCAACCACATTATGGAAAGGATGGCTATTGTGATTTAGAACATTGGAAGGACATCAAACTTACATCTAGTGAAAGAGCAAGTCTACAAATTCAAAGTAAATCATTAGTGTTAATTTTGTCAAGAATCGTAGTCCAATTGAAAACCTTACTTAAAGAGAGCTTTCACTTCCTGAGAGGAAGCTACTAGGGTTATGGATAAAATCCCAAAAGGAAAAAACAAACTGAGGCTGCCAGGGTTGTGGCTAAGAATCCCAAAAACAGTTTATGGGCATATTTCACCAAGATTGGCTGCACACTCTGTTGATTAACGTTTACGGTGAGAAAAAGTAAGTGCAGCAAAATAATCAATGACATAAGATCTGATTACTCCTAGTCATCACATTAGAATCTTCTACGAGGATTGTTGGAGGGGACAATGGTTCCTTGCTACTTGTTTCCCTTGTGTGTACGGTCTCTTATATAGATACTTTCCACCAGTCTTCATTTTTAAAATTCTCTTGGCAAAGTGTCATGAATTTGTTCGTAACTAGAATGATAAGACAACATTATTATTATTGTTTTTTTTTTTTTTTGATAAGAAAAGAAAATTTATTAGGAAGTAGAGGAAAGACGAGTCACAAAGAGGAGGATGAGGCATCCTCAGAAAGCCTCCTGAAAAGCAGAGGCAAATCAGAAAAATAAAAGAGAAAATCAAAACAAGAGAGCCTCCCAATTCCTTTGAAGAATGTATAAAGAAAATCTATAATGGAATTATGATCCTTAACTTAAATCTAAGCAAAAAAGTTAACCTATCCCACAGGAAATGAGTAAAGCAATCCTTGAAAATTCTAGCATTACGCTCAAACCAAAGCACTCACTAACCAGCAAGATGACTGCCCCCTGACAAATCCTGATCTCCTTTCTCACCATATTTCCGTTCGGGTAAACAACAGAAAAAGATTAAATAGAAGCGGGAAAAACCCAAGAAAACCCAAAGGTTTTGAAGAAAAGGATGCAAGGTTCAATAAAATGAATAAAAAATTTACATATGGGTAGATCTGCAATCATATAGATTGGAAAGAAGTGCATATTGCTGGAGGAATATTTCTCATATAACATTTCCGACCATCTTGCTCCATTTTTGTAGATTGTGGTCCGAATTAATCCCTTCCAAAAATGGACTCCTTATTATACAGAGCTTTGTAGAACTCAGTGCTCTTAGCCCAATGGATATAGAGTCACGCTCCATCACTCATTTTCCAAGTTCGCATCCCCCTCCTTAACCTGCTTAATTTTTGACCTCTAATGAACTTCCTCCTTAATGATGACCTCCTTGATTTCATTGCAGAAGGACAACCTAATCAATTGACGCCTTAATATAATTTTCGGCTGCCAACTTATCAAGAATAGTTTCTCCCGCTAACTTTTTTCTTCTTTGCATCCACATCATGGAAACCTCCTTATATTACCCTTGAGTTTACCCTTCAGAAATTGAAGTTTCTTCATTATGTTTGAACCCTTCATGTCCTGCAATATCAACCTCTCTCCACCACTCTTACCTTGTTAAGAAAAGTACTGAGCAAAAGTATTGAACCAAATAACTATCGTCCAAAGAATTAGAGAAAGGGAATTGGTCAATGTGAGAATAGACTTTTCTACCACTATTAACTAAGTGAACTGAGCATGAAAGTGTAAGGTTATTGAGCTTGTAGTTTTGAATAATCATGTTAAAGCACCTCATGGTCGAAGTGGTTCAAGAACCCCTTGAATTAGTTGTTTTATGGGTGTGTCTTTCAATGGTTGGAAGAACGGGCGATAGATCTTTTTATGGAGATAGATAGGAGAAGATAGGAGAAGATGGAAACAAACAGACAACAATTGAAAAGGAAAAGTAGTTAGGGAGTGGAGGGAACAAAGGGGTGGACATTGCAACCAATAATTGATCCATGTTCGAGAGAATAATACAATAGAATGACATGGAGATCAATGACCATAAGGAGCAACAAGTAATTAGAGGATGTATGAGCATATGAAAACCAAGTGTTATTTGTTTTCAGGAGACTCAAATAGAAAATATGCAAGTTAGGATTATTCGAAATATATGGAAGATAAAGGAAGTGTGGTGGGTGGACTTACTGCCTATGGGAATAGTGGGTGGTATTTTGATTATGTGGGATGATGATAGAACTCGATATGTGGAGTACATTAGGTTGAGTCTTCTCTTTCTTGTTTGTTTGAGAATCAGAGATGTGAAGATCTTTGGGTATTAATTTGGATTTACAATAAGAGGGAAGGGACTGAGAGAGTTTTGTTGTGGAGAGATTTGGAGGAATGTGAGTAGAAATGAAGTTTTCCATGGGTAGTGGGTGAGGATTTCAATATGATGTTGAATATACATGAAAGAACGAGAACTTAGTTCTCGAGAATATACGTCGAAGAATTCAAGGATGCTACGGAGAGAGTGGAGCTTGCTGATCTAACCTTAACTGGAGGGAAGTGGAATTGGTCGAATCAAAAGACAAGTCCGGGATGTTCTCCTATTAATAAGTTTTTGGTGTCTGCCTTGTGTGAGTTCCAAGTTGCAGGCATTTGTCAGAAGTGACGGCAGAGGATAATTTTAAACACATTTCCTATTTACATTGATTCAAATGGGATAAAATGGGGTTCAGTGCCCATTTAGATTTGAAGATAAATGGCTAAATATGAATGATTTTAGTGAAGAAGTCAATGGCAAGGCTAGCTACAGGTTAGCGAATAAACTAAAGGTTGATAAAATATGCTGAAGATATTGCTAGAAAGGAAAGGTTAGAGAATGATTTGGCAGTTCGGTTACAATGGGAGGAGGTAGAATGACGACAAGTCGAGAGTTAGATGGATTAAAGATTAGCACTGTAACAAGAGGTTTTTCCATTACTAATTATCATAGAAGATGTAACTATCTGCAGACTATGGAGATTGAGGGTAAGAAGGTAAAGGGCAATGAAGATTTGAGGCTAAGGGTCAAGGAATACTTCAGTAATTTTATTATGAAGAATTTGATTAGAAACCTGTATTGGATGACATCAATTTTAATGTGCTGGACGAGGCGAGTAGGGAGTATGTTGAAAGAGAATTCTCAGCAGAAGAAATTTATGAGGCTCTCAAGCAACGCAGGACAGATAAAGTTCTAGGACTCGATGGTTTTAATATGGGATTCTTAGGGAAATTTTGGTATTTGGTCAAGGATGATGTAGGAGAGCTTTTCAAGGAAGTCTATGAGGTGTGAACTCTTGTGAAGTCTATACTCACTAGAAGGGACTTTGGATGATCAACTTTGAATCTCTTCTCTTGTCCTATATTTCCTTCTCATATAAGTTATAGGTGAGACCTTGAATCTTACCTTGCTCCTTTTGTTTCAGCTAACATTAACCCCAGACTCTCTATTAGAGCATTGAGATTGTCAGAATCAAAGTTAATAATAATTGGCTTAAAAGCAATGTTTTTCTTTTCGGTATCTTTTCTACTAAAGCATCATTACTGCCTAAAATTTCTGTACATAAGAAATTGGAAGCCAATTGTTCTGTCCCACTTCCAACCACTTGAAACAAAATCGACAGGGAGATTAGAGAAATTGAATCCAGGGCATTGTTGGAATTAGGGAATAACATGATAGGATCGGGGGTAGATGAAGAGGAAGGTATAATCCCCTTTTTTAGGTGCGGGGATCCTGACTTGAAGAGTGAGCAGAACAGTCAACAATACCTTGTTGGTTCGAGCAGGCTATCTCCACGTCATGTTCTGCTTCAGAAAAAGCTTGCTTCTGTTTCAAGACCTCATCCAAGTAACTCACTATTTCTTCTTGCTACCTTCTAATTATCTCGTCCAGCTCATCATAGTCAGTTTCTATATTCAACTCTGTGAAGTAACTTGCTTGATCTAATTTCAACAAATCAAGTGACGATATTGTGGAGATGGGATCTACATCACTTTTTTTTATCTTCCATAGCTTCGTCTTCCACCTCTACTTTCACTCTGTTCTTCTCATCTACATCGGTGCCAGGCAGTGGCTCCTTGGAGTAAACATCTGAAATCCTTTCGTTCAGTGGTATACTTGTCCACTGTTCTTCTCAGTGTTTCCTCCTTAACCCTATGCAGTCCCTTCCCTGCACTGTCTCTTTTTCCATATGCTGGCTCTGTTTCCACACTCCCCTAATGGAAACAGCAAAGTTGATTGATTTCACGTTTTTGGAGCAGCAGGAACAATCTGAAATCCTAGAGCAGATCCTAAAACTGAAACGTTGATGCCTGTTGGCCCTTGATTTTGTGAATCCAATGCCGATTTTGTCTCAAAGTGTCATCAGGCTGCTCATTGGGTTCCCAAGTAGATATTGAGGCCTTAAGAATCTATGGGCTGATAACTCTTTAGCAGAAGAGCATTGCGGGCTCCTTTGGTGTGAAGCAGTTTCCACGCAAAACACATATCTCCAGCTTTTGTATAGTTGTCAATTACAATTTGATCATTTAATGCCTTCAAATTATCAGACTGCTCTCTATCCTCCAGAAAATCCTCAGTTCCTTTGATTTTTGGCTTGCCATGATCTTCATGATTCCTGTCAATTCAAATAGAGGGGAAAAGTGACATTTAGAAATGTACTCCGCCACTAACCTTTTTCATCTCCGCTGCTCGCCTCTGTAATAATCAGTTTCTGTGAATTCGATCCACCTGCTATCTCTCTTCATATCTTCTTGTCTTCATTCAAATTCTCCGCCATCATGTCCAAGGCTCAGCCATCCTTGACTTGCCCTTCTGTGTGGAATGATAATTGTTTTTCTTGTACTATTACTAAAATATTCAGAGACTTTCAAGTAATTCCTGTCTAGAATTCTCAGGCTTCTCACCAATTAAATGTTTATCACTCTCCACCCATCATGATTTTATACCCAAACTGCCTTGCACATTCTGTGATACTGGAGAGAAAAATGTTCAGCACCTTACAAAATATTAAAATGCTTCGCTTTGTTGTAATTCTACTATGACCTCCCGTAGTGCTCCCATGCTCAATCTATTAATTAATTTGGATAATGGGAAATCTAAAATATTGCTGAAAGAAACATACCCCATAACTTTTTTTTTTGAACTCCCATCCATTGGAATAAACAAAAATATTTCCATTGTATTGTTCTTATTGGAAATATCAGATTTGATGTCCTAACTAACCCTCTTGACTATCTTTGCTTGTTTTTTCCTTTTTTTAACCTTTCGCTTCTTATAGTCCTTTTTAGTGCCTTAAGCCCTCAGGTGTTTATACATGTAAGCCCATTCTAGTCTCTCACCTAGTACCCTAATACCATATCAATGCTTTGTCCCATAGTTTTTGGAAGGTGAAAGTTCTCTTAGATTAATGTTTTTGTATGAATGGCTGTTTTAAATACGATTACTTTTATATAGGAAAGAGCAGAGTATCTTAGTGGAGCATAAGATATCATTATAAACAGTGAGAACCGGAAAGTAGGAAATATTGAAAAGAAGGATTAAGTTGGGGACCTTGGAGGGCTTCTTTTCTTGATATTTCTTTGACTTTCTTTTCATAGTTCAAAGAGTAATAGCCACCTCCTTTTCCATTGTCCTGTGGTGTAGAAGATTTGGGAGAGATTGTTTTTTTTTAATTCGGGTTTTATAGAGTACTACTCTGTGGAATTGGGAGGATCTAGGAGCTTAAGGTATTGGGAGAAGGACCATTTTCATCAGCTTGTTGGTCATTTTCTTGGAATGGAATGCTCAAATTTTAAGCATCAGTTCAACTGCCTCACTTGGTTTTGTGATAGTCATCTTTTTTGCTTCTTTTTTGGCTAAAGACCATGGTTTCTTTCAGGGGAAGCCTCTATGTACTTTGCAGAGGGTTGAGGCTGCATGTTTCGTTGGCTTTTCAGTATCTTATCTTTTAATGTTTGGTTTTGTTTTTTTGCTTGAAGGATATCTTTGCTTCTTTCTCTTTTATGACAACTCTTTATCTCTTTGTAAATATCTGCTTTCATATGAAAAAGGAAAAAGTAATTATTTTTTCAGATAGTCCTCAATATTAGGATCCTTCCATTTTTGTATATTCACTTTCTTCCTTGATATGGAGGGGGAATTTTTCTTTAATGTGAATATTGTCCGATGGGTAAATCATTCAAATGCAGAACGCGCTAAAGTTATCCCAGATACAGAAGAACTTCCTGGACATAAAGGAGAACTTTCGAGGTCTCCTACTGAACTGAAAAGTGGTGATTGGGCTCTCATAGTAATTCCGTGGATTGGGGGCAGAATTATTTCAATGGTGCACCAGCCTTCAGGTAATGCATGTGAACTGGGTTAACATATTTTCATAGCCAAAATAGTTAAGACTGCATATATACTTTTCCTTCGGTGAAGCTTCCGGATTTTTAGATCATTAAGTTTTTCTCATTGGAGCTAAATCTAAAATTTATATAATTTTCCTGTAAAGGGCCAAGAACTTCTACTTCAAGGCATTTTGAGTTTGTAAATATTTCTTGACTTCCACAATGTTTTTTTACAATGTTTCTAAAGATAATTCTTGGTGTTATTTATGGCTTGCTGTATATAAGGGGAATACATTGCATCTGTACCATATATTCATCCTATTTACATACATTTTACCTATTATATAGTTTATTGCACATATACTAGATATAAATACACTATATTTATGTGTCATATTTGTGCTATATATGTTTGCAATATATATACACACTGCACACTGTATATTCTCTTTATATGCTGCATATATATTTATATATATTGTGTGGATATGTAGTATAACTACATTATATATTTATATGTGAGATATATATATATATATATATAGTGTATATACACTTCAAATATGCATATTTTAGATAGGCATTGTATATATAACTCTTTGTACATAGTGCAATATATGCACACTGTACTGCTTCCAGAGGAAATCAAAGTATGTACTATTATATTATATCTGCAGTATACATTGAATTTATATTGTATATGTCTTTTGTATATATATCATATGTACGTACACCATATATACGTACACCATATATATACACTATATATATCATAATATGCTATGTATATAACACATATTGCGCATATATATATAAAATATATAGTTTATCTAACATGTAATGTGTGTATGCATTATATGTTTACTATATATGCTGCTTATATGTGTTGGGTGGATATGCCGTATATATCCACCATATGGCTAGTGGATTAGATAAGTGTATATGCACTATGTGCACTCTATTTACCTTTTGTGTGTGTATATGCAGTATATGGTATATATATAATATATATGTGCACGTATATAAATAGAAATAAGTTTTGTGTTTTAGGTCTAATTACTCTAAAAGATGGTAATTTAATCTTTTTATTGACAAAACTTACATCATTTCTTTCCATTTGACCCAAGCTTGGAGTGATAATATCTTTAAATGAGTGGGGGATTGGAGGGGTAATTAATTTTCCTCCACTTCCCTCCCCATTAACTTCTAAATAAGGGGAAGAAGATTTGTTTTCATTTCTTTTTCCACCATTTAAATAGATTTTATTTTTTAATTATATTTAACTCATTTATTTTTAAATATCATATATAGTGAGAGTTTATCTTTTAAAAGATTTGATTTATGTTTATCTTTTAAATAATTATAAATTATTTTTAGAAAATTTGATTTAAGTATAATTTTATTTAAAAACACTTTAAATTATTAATTTTTGAGTTGGTGAAATTAATGAAAATTTAATTTTTTTTCACCTAAAAAAAAACAAGCGGTATCAAAACTTTGTTTAATCATGGGTCTGTGAAACTTCATCTTCTATTTTTACAGGGAAAAATATCAATTATGGATTTTGAAAATATAAATATATCTACAATCTTGTTCAAGAAAAAGAATCTCTTTTTTGAAAATTAAAGAGAAGTGTTTCAAGAGATTTTGATGAAAAGTACATCAATAATTGGATGTTGGTAAGAAATGTATCAACAATTGAAGAAAATTCTTCCAAATATGAAATAAGACATATTGGAAAGAGGTGCTCCAACAAGACAAATTTGGTGATTATAATTTTTATATTAAGGAAGAGTGTTGAAGATTAATGTAAAAATTACAATTTATTTTATTTATTAATTTGAATTCAAATTGAGTTTATCTTTCAATTGGATTTACCCCATGTTTATTTTTTAAATATCATGTAATTAGTGAAAGTTTATCTATTCGAAAATTTGATTTATATTTATCTTTTAGATAATGGTAGATTATTTTAGTAAATTTGATTTAAATGTAAAATTATTTAAAAACACTTTAAGTTGTTAATTTTTGATTTAGTAAAACTAATAAAAATTTAAGTTTTTATCACCTGAGAAAACCCAACAAAATTTATTGTGGCACCTCTAGTAAGAATGGAAAAGCTACGAATAATATTTATATGGTAAACAGACTATAAATGTATGGAATTTAGAGAGGCAGACGAAATTTCTTTGTGTATTATGAAAGATCATATAAATGAGTTCATATAACTGTTACAAAGAAAAAAACAGGACACTAATAATAAAAAACTAAATCAAATCAAGTCTCTATATGGGTATAATTCCTTAATCAGTATCAGATATTTTTAGAAAGATTAATTTTAAAAATTGACATAGAAGATTGAAGTATTTCCCTTTAAGCTGGTAAATATTCATCTTTAATTCCCAGCTTGGTGATAAATGTTGGTAAATGCGTATATCTATTATGGGCTCATTCTTTGTCTGATTTGCAGGAACGCAATGGCTTCATAGCAGGATAGAGATTAATGGGTATGAAGAATATAGTGGTACTGAATACCGGTCTGCTGGATGTTCAGAGGAATACAATGTCCTTGAGTGCGTTTTTCGAAACTCAACTCTTCTGTAACTGGTTTCCTGTCAAAGAAAGATTCTAAATTAAGAATAGAGGTTACAATTTTAGGAGTGCAACTTTCCAATGCATTTTCATGGGTGAAAAGTGCATGGCTTTTTAGTAATAGTCCTTACATCTTTGCATTAAAAAGAAAAATAAGAAAATAAAATATTCTGAGTTTTCAAGGTGAATTACTTTTTACAATTGTTAATGGAAGGATGTATTATCAAAAAATGAAAAAGATGGAGTACCTAAAGAATATGGATCTCTAGACAAAATATACCTGTTAGAAAATAGAATATCTATTAGTAAATAATAAGATACGTGTCATGTAGTCTTTTTTTGTAATTATGTAAGATAAATGCTCGTTTATTATACTCTTAAATTTTTAAAAGTAATACTATTTTAGTTATAATTTCATATAATTACTTCAAATATTGTATAAGGTATGATTGAGTCTTTTTATTTATAATTATGCTAGAAGTTGTCTATCAAAGTAACCATCCGATGTAGGATGCACTTGCTCCATTGTCAATGGCATTAGTCATAAATACACTTCCCAAGCACTGAAATACTAGTGTGAAACTTAAAGTTGCTTATTGCGTTTGTAAGCTAACTGAAATAACTGCCTTGAATTCCTTATGATTATGTAGAAATGAAGAAAGTTTTTAATTGACTTTTATGTTTAAGATATTAGCTAAGAGAACATAGGCAATCACATGTCAAAGAGATCTTTGATTATGAAGTATTAAACATAGAAATGTTTAGAGACATCCAACAATATGTATATTTACAATAGAACTATGTTCCCTCATATAAGGAAGCAAATATGAATCTTATTTTACAAGAAAGTGATTATATCTTTGGAGAGTTGCTCACGCCACTCTAATACAATGTTTAATAAAAAAAAGTTCGAATAATTGCTCATGGGGCTAGTAAAGGAAATTTTTAAAGTTGTTCTGCTAAGCTTAAACCATCTTTGATGTAGAGGATAAAATCTTTCTGATGTGGCCTTGCATGACCAAAGTGATATAGTGACCCCGGTACGTTAATATCACTTATTATTGAACAAATTGATGTCATTATCGTTGACAACTCAACTAATGGGAGCAAGTTAATAAATGATATTGCCGATGAGATCACCATTGGCTATCAATATAGTGAGAGTGACTTAATAGATGAGATAACCAAGGAGATTGTAAAGGATGTTGTAATTCATATTGAACAAGTCGAATATAGTGATGGATCTTTCAATTTAGTAGTTAGTTGCTACGCTATTCTAGTTGAGGATGATGATATTCTATATGATCTGAAAGGGAAAGAGTCTCCAGCTAAAGTGTATAAATTTTTGGAGAAATTATTCACTTTATTTTCTCATAAATTTGTGACATTACAAACAAGATATTTATACATAATTTCTATTTATGAATAAGGAAAATTACATTAATGTAGGGATTTTAATTGATTCTACTAATTAATTACATTTTTATAGAAAAAATTGTAGAAATGATTATAAAGGAACAAATATCTCGATTAAAGGGCAATAGAATATTCTAATCAACACTCCCCATCAAGTTAGTACAAAAATATTACACATACCCAACTTATAAAATAAGTTATTAAAAGATTTGTTATAAAATCTTTTAGCAAAAGTATCTGCTATTTGTCCACTAGAAGGCAAATGATACAGGTATAAGAAGCTTCCTCAACCAGTTTCTCTTTTATTAAGTGTAAAAACCTCGGAAATTCATAATGTAATGTTTATTAAAAATATCAAATGCGGAAGCGAAGTCAAAAATTCGATTAACATCCCTTACACTAAAACCAAAAACGTGCTCACAATATAAAAGATCAAATTACCTAAAGGAGAAACTTGAAAGTAAAAGCTACAAATATGGCTATGAAGTCTTTAGGCGTCCCCTTCGTCGTCCTCCTGCGGAACTAGCTCGGGAACAAGATCTTCCTGATCTGAAATGATTAAATAAGGAATGAGTTACACTAGCCCAGTAAAGACATCACGATATCTCACCGTCACGGAGGTAAAGGTGGGTAGAAAACACAAAAAGACCAATGGAACATAATTTACAACAAAATCTTTTATCAATAATAAAACCTTTACCATTCACTTACCCGGTGAAATTCATAAGACAATATACGAAAACAATAACATCATTATCATCATGAAATCATATATAAACTGTATAACGTAATACTTATCAAGCCTTTCGAAATTCAATTGTTACACAATATATTTTCCTCATTTACCAGCCCACTAATATCCATGGGGATCCATAGGGGTCCCGCTACCTGTTAACCCTTAACACTTGAAATCGTATTCCAGGGCCGTCCCCATACCCCGTCCGGTATGGGCGCCAAAACTATAAACCTCATTACCCCGTCCGATATGAGGGTGAAACGGGCCGTCCCCATACCCCGTCCGGTATGGGCGCCAAAACACATAAGATCTCCATACCCCGTCCGGTATGGGAGACCACAATCCCAGTAGGGTTCCCTACGGACCCGGTCCGTCCACCATCTCCCAGGATATCTAGTCAGACTGACCACATTATACAATTACCCATTTACATAATCTATCATTCTCTTTTTCCTCAGTCAGCATCATCAATCACATACAAACAAGCAAAACGGTAATTTATGCCAAACAGACAACATACAGCATCAATATCCCAGTCATTCAATCTATAATCAATAAAACAGTAAAATATGCACACGAAACTATAAAATTAAAACATCAAGTCTCATACTGCATTTAAAACTGTAAACAGGCCAAATAACAGTTAACCGACAAACACACTAGACTCGGGCTCCATTAGCGACCTTAAGCAATTTCACACATTCGTTGATTCATGAAATACCGTTTTATCATTTATTGAACTTTAAGACCGTGATAACAAATAGGGTGAGGGGTCCTTACACATTTCGGGGTCCAAATACGGCTTCACAGTGCGCCTACAGGCTGTCCCTAATTTTTCCTGAATTTTTTCGGGGAACTGAAACGCACTACTGGTACCTGCACGTGTTCCAAAAAATCCCAAATTAGGCCCAGGGTCCCTTTCGGCCAATATCGCAACTCCGGCACGGCGGCTCCGCCGTGCTCTGGCGACGGCGCCGCCGCTTGCGGCGGCGGTTCATCTCGGGTTAGCAGTTTTCGGCCGAATTCGGCCACACTCGCATTGGTTCCTGCGATAAAACAACCCTACGGCCATCGGGGGCCGAAAATTTACGGAAAACCGAAGCTTACCGGCGGCGGTGCTCTCGGGTGCGGTGGCTCTCCGGTGAAGTTCGTGTTTTGGTGATTCGGCTCCGATCAACCTGTAGAGAAAAGAATGGTGATCACGGTGATATAAAAATTGCATTAAACGGAGGCTGGGAAGGGCCTCATCGGAGGCAAAAACCGAGGAGGGGCGCGGCGGCGCCACTGGCTTTCGGCCGTGTTTTCCAGCCGTTTGGCCGGGATTTTGGCTCCGATTTGGTCACTGGGGAAATCAGCGTGGAAAAACGAGTCGGGAGTATGAAATTTACCTCGATCGGCGGTTGGAAATCTCCCCGGTGCGGCGGCGGGTGGCGGCGGCCGGCTCTGGTTCGTCTTCTCCGGCGAGGGCAGGCGGCTAGGGTTTTGTGGTCTGGTGTGGGGGTTCTATTTATACCATTTTGCCCTTTTGATCTTAGCCGTCCATTTTGATTTAATCTGGGCCGTCCGTTTTTGATTAAATTTGGGCCGTCCGATCGCGCCACGCGGATCGCCAACGTGGCCCGTCCCCGGTTGACGTGGTTTTGCCACGTGGCAGGTCCTGGTTGGCCAGGACTGCTGACTAGGTCTGCTGACGTGGCTGCTGACGTGGCGCGCGCGTTTTTTTTTTTTTTTTTTTTTTTTCCTTCAATTTCCCGAGCGCTACATTAAGTGTCAATTAACCTCACTGTGCTTTGTTCGGTCATATTGAACTGAATTATGAGTTATGCTAATGACTGCTTTTTAATCACAGAGTAAGAATAAACTCTTGTCTTTAAACAATTTTAGATCTTTTATTAACTTTTGTAATTATGCTAATTCACATAATTCTTGGTTCATAGCTCTATATTCTGTTTCAATACTGAAACAAGCAACTACATTTTTCTTTTTACTTTTTCAAGTAAGTAGGTTGCCTCCTACGAGTGTGCAATGACCAGTAGTTGACCTTCTATCATCTAAAGATCTAGTCCAATCAATATGTATAAATGTTTCTATATTACAGTGACCATTTTTGGAGAATAACAAATCTCTTCTTGGTGCAGATTTTAAATATCGCAATATGCAAAAAAGATATGTAAATGAGGTTTGTGAGGATCATGCATGTACTAAGTCAGTAGGCTAACTGCATATGGTATATTAAGTTTAGTATGTGAGAGATAAATGAGTCTTCCAATCAATTTATGATATCTCCTCAAATCTACTGATGTACCAATTTCTACTTGTAGTTTGTGATTGTTTTCAATAGGAAACTTTGCTGGCTTGTAGCCCATCATACTGGTCTTTTCTAATAAATTTAAAATATATTTTATTTGAGAAATGAAATTTTTTTTATTAAATCTGACAACTTCAATTCTCAAAAAATACTTTAGTTTTCCTAAATTATTTATTTCAAACTCTTGAGTAACAACTTCGTTCAACCGAGCTATTTTCCTTGTATCATCTTCAGTCACAATAATATTATTTACATAAAAAATGAGAAGAGTAATCTTATCCTTATAATGTTTGATAAACAGAGTATGATCAACGTTACTTTGTTGATATTCAAAAGAAATCATAACTCTTTTAAATCTTTTAAACCATGCTCTTTGAGACTATTTCAACCTGTATAAGACATTCTTTAATTTACAAATCTTTTCTTGTGTTATTTTATCTTCAAATTCAGGAAAAATCTTCATGTATATCTCTTCTTTTAAGTTTCCATGAAGGAAAACATTTTTCAAATCAAACTATTGT